AAAAAATATTTATTTAAAAGATTTAACGAATTTCTTTAGTTATCGCATTCTAATTTATGAAATTCAATGTGATAAATAGGTACTGTAAATCCGCATCCAATAATTCACACGATAAATTTTCTTTTTTCTACCATAAATATTTCGAATACTTTTGTCGATGATTCGATATAAAGTTGAGTGAAGCGCTGGCAAAATTACTAGCAAACTTTAAAAATACGCAAAAAATAAAAAAATAAAAATAAAAAAATAGTAAAAAATAGTATTATTTCGACAACAGCAGGATTTGAACCTGCGCGGGTAAAACCCATCAGATTTCGAGTCTGACGCCTTAACCACTCGGCCATGTTGTCCAAGATACCATGTACTACATTCCTGAAAGTTAAATAAATGAAATTACAAAATAGTTATCCAAGAAATTATCCTCGAAGAAACTAAATTTTTTTATGTAAAAAATTTGAAGTATCCTAAATTTTACGCAACGTTTGATAATTATATAAATAACCATACCATCATCATCTCTTTGATTTAAGAGATCAAAAAAAAAAAAAATTTATCGTAGAGCTTAAAAACAACAGGAGAAATACTAGGAAGTCTTTTACGATAAAAGATCAACCACTCTCTTTTGGTAGAGAAAATTATACCATTTCACTAAAAATTTCTCCTGTTCTATGTAACAGTTTCTTACTTACTTGAGGAAGTTTTACCTCGTCTTTTATTAATAAATTTTGTTAAAATTAAAAGGTTTACAATCTACAAAAGTTCCTGAAAGTAATACCAGCAATTTTTTTTTTTTTTTTAGGTAGTTTAGATAAAAACGAGAATATAGATTACTCCTTGTGACAAGATCATTAAATTTTTGGTTCGTTTTCAAGCTTTGCAGATTATCTTGAATAATTCAAATCATAAAATTCCTTCCCTTGTTAATTTAAATGTCAGAGCTAGCAAAATTGAAAAATGATGTCTATTTTTATGGAATCAACTCTTGTTTGATTTGCTAATTTAAAAGGAATTTAATTATTTGTAAATGTTTTGAAAACAAACTATTGTATTTGAGCTTCAAATTCTTTGTTGCATGATGAATACAAAATAAATTTTCATCCATTAGAAATATCTTGTTTCCTTTGACGTTTTATTGACCTTTTTTTTATGATTTTTTAGAACGGACAACATAAAATAATACAGAGTATAAAGATTACAATGAATTAAAAATTTTTATCAGTTAGATCAATTTTAAGAAATGTCATTGACAACGTTTGTATGGATTTGATCATTACAACGCCAAAATGATTTTTTTGTTTAAAGAAAAAAATTTGAAAGGCATTAGAATTTGCCGCTTTGCCTTTTCATTATATTCCCAACTCTACCGGAAACAATACGTCACGTGGCAAAAATTATATTAACGGTTATTATAATTTGGTGATTTTGACTGATTTGTGTAGACTTAAAGCCTATTGGAATGAATAAGTAACCATTGATACATAATATTAAACAGCAATAGGCGTACTTTGTGGATGAAACCTCGCTATTATTATCCCTCTTTTAAAGTGTCAGATATGGTAAATAAAACAAGAAAGATTGCACGAATTGGTTGGGCACATTATCATTATACATTATCGATTCGTCAACGTGCTATCATCCAAAATGAGCTTTATACATCTAAGACTTGCAGTACAACTGTCAGAATTGTAAAACTGTAATTGATCGAGATAAAATGGCGGTCACGGAATGTTTCTCCTTGATGGAACCTTGGTTCTCTCCAGAGATCATAGTAGCAAAGATAAATTATTGATGTATTACATACAATCCATCCGAATTAGTCATTATTGTTAATGAAAGAAAGGACTTCCTGAGCATATTGAACCAAATTTGTAATAATAGTTTATTAATCGTATTAGTGTTTGACTTTTAAATCCACTAGATGACTTGCATGTTATTTGTTCCAAAAGATGTTGTGGTAATTTTTGTTTCCTAAAGATATGAGTGGTCAAATTTAACTAATCATGATCTGATAACATAAGGCGCAGCCGGCGATTAATGATAAACCTATTGTTTGTACTGTAAATATAAGGATTGTTGTGTGAGAATTTGTATGAAAGAATGTGAAAGTGCGTGGGGATGCGTGTTGCTCGCGTACAACATTTTAATGAAACAATTGAGCTTTCTTTGGTTCGATTGAAAACGGATGAAATTATGTAGATTTTTCTAACCTTATACAACTAAAAAGAGCGGAAAAACTATAATAATGATTACCAAGAATTAGAATGATGTGTAATTAAAAATTAAAGTAGGGAAATAATCGAAAGGAAATGCATAATGACCAATTCACGAACGGTCCTTTTAGGCCGTAGATCATCTCGAATTTCTAAAAAGTCAAATGACAATGTCTTGTGATAAACAATTGATGTTGCTTAACAATTTTGGAAGAAAGAATTTAGTACAAATTTGTTACTTCTGCAGGGGATCCCTTTGTTATTCTATTTAATAAATATAGTTTTAATGAAAAAAAGAAGTAATTACAAGAAAATGGTTTTCTTTTTTTTCTTTTTTTTTTTTAAAAAAAAAGCACTATTTTAGACACATTTGTGCTACCTCAATTTTAATCAAAGAAAGAAAGTTTTTTTTTTCATTTTTCTCCCCTTTTATTTGTAAATACATCATTCTTCTTACTTAACTTCATAAACAAATAAACAAACTTTTTTTTTGTGGCTCAAACTTTAAAAAGGGTAGTGATCGTATGAAGGTGTGATAATTAAGATAACAATGCCAAAGTTTTTTACGTGGTTAATTGACAAAATTGTTAATAAATAAATATCATGTTTTAATGAAATACTTATTAAAGGAAATAAAAATGAAAAGGCACCCGCTTATTTCAAATTTTTAAGGATCATCCCGAGAATAGCAAAAAGAATAAATTGATGGATTTTCTTTTAACCACCGAATATTTTATATTTTAACTAGCGATCAAAAAATTTTTTTGATTATGAAAAAAAGTTTAGATCAAAATTTAAGGGAATTGGCTGAAAAATGAGATCAAAATATTTTGATCTCTTGATCATTTTATTTTGACCTTTTTTACTCTCTTGTCTTTGTTCAGTGACACACATTCACAAGAACATTTCTATAAGAAGTAATAAATATTCTTTGACGGTTGTCACGTTTACATTTTGAAGTTCAATCCACTACGCCTCAATGTCCTACCAACCAAAATCCTTTACGATTAATCAGCCATCCGAAATTCGCCCGAATAACATGTAATTATAAAAATAAATCAATGTATACTGTATGTATGCCACAAATTTAAACACGACAGGAATTTTTTTTTGAAATCCGCTTTCCATTTGTCACAGAAATGTTGGGAAAAAAAAACTTTTTTCCCTTTAGAATAACAGATCGAAAAAGAACAACATCTGAAAAATAATTTTCATTTCGTTACCAATAAGCTACCGTTTTATTTTTGGGATCTGATAAAAATTTCTGAATAAGCAAAACAAATTAAATGACTCTTTGATTTTATTACACAAAATGGTCAAAATGGTCCATTATGAAATACAAATTTAGGATCATATGGGTCAAAAATTATAGTCACATGATTTTTATATAATGTTACCTTTTTTTTCTTTTTTCTACAGGTCGTCCAAAAGAAAAAGATCATGTGCGATATGCATCATGCGATCTTTGTGTTTGTGCGTTTACGTGTGCTTTTTTTATTCCTCGTGTTGCAAGAAAGATTGTTTTTGATTAATGACTTTTATTTTTGCCACGCCAATGCATATTATTTTCAAATCAAACTCAAAGGTGATAGTTTGCATCATTACTCGGAAATATTACTACCCGAAAAAGAAATGCTAATCCCAAGTTCCTTTAACATTCCTTTGCTATCTATATGCTGAATCGAATACTTTGGTTGGTAAGCACTACATTCCATTTTTTCTTTCTGAATAGGAAGGATTTCTTGAAAAAATAAAAATAAAAAAAGATCAATTGGATACAACAAGCAAAAATAAATAAAAAATGGATCGATTGTCAAGTGTAAATGGTCTCACCGCATAAATTTCGAACAGTCTAGTGGATTTAATTACAGGAAAATCTCCTTAGATTTTGTTTGTTGAAAGTCGATGATTTTGCTGTAGGTCGAATCATCATCTCTTAAGTGGTCCTCATGTTCCTTATGTTTAAGTAAATGAGGCTGATTTATGCAATCTTCAGGGATTTTTTTTTTTCCTTCTTTCTTTATTTAATCCTGATTGAAGATAGAACTTGAATCATAACCTGAATTAATTCGTTTTTGAAGAACCATACAATACTTATTTAATATTTTTCGCCACACTTTATATATTGTTACATATATATAAAGAGAAATGATTAAAATGTGTAAATTTCGGGACGTTTGTAACACTTTTATATGTCCATTATAAATTTTAAATGCAGCTTAACGTCACCAAAATTATAGGTCTAATCAAACCGGCTCAAGTTCAAGTATTTTTAATATATTTTATTTATTATATCAAACAAACTTGACACAATGTCACCGATAGTAAAATAACTTGGGGTAGTGTCACAAACTTTTGGTATTTTATATGTAATCCTAATATAGGTTCTTTTTTGACTTCCCTATTTAAACTTCGATAAAAATAAATTTTTTTTTTTATGCAACTGCAAAGTAAATCTATTAAAGTTATATATATATATTTAAATATTTAAATAGGTTATAGGACTCCGAAGTAAACGATACGCATATCTTTGACCTCTCAAGAAAATTTTCAATAAATCTTCCTTCAAACCATTTTGAATATTTAAAATACCCATCCCCTTACTTATTTTTTTATTCTTTTAATATTTTATTTATTGTCTCGTAATTTTTCTTCTTCTCTTCACAAGTATCGTTATCTCAGTTTCTTTATCGTTACTTTTTCGTATTTTACCAAAGTAAGCTTTCTCGCACATTTTGACTTTTTCTTGAATATATTAAAAATAGTTCTCTAAATATATCAGATAAGAGTATGGTATCTACCACTGAATTAGTTGAATTTGAAAATCCATATTCAAATGGACCTACTAGCAAGACTGTACGTGTAGGCTCCAAAAGATCCTTCGGTCATTTTTTTCAAGTTCAAACTATAAATATTCACAAATTCGTTTGTTCTTTGCTTTTTTTTAGACTTCAGAACAATCTGTAGGGATGAACATGAACTTTGAAGGAACGCTTCAGTCGCTTGTCAACGTTCAAAAACAGTTCTCAGATATGAACAAAACTATTAAGGTAAGCCCTCTCGAACTTTACGTTGTTTATTGCTTCAAACAACTATTTCCTATTAAAATAAATGCCCTTCTAGTTTTTTTTTTTTTTTTTAAAAGAAATTTTACTTTCAAAATAATTAACCGACTTTGCACTTTCCTATATATAGCAAAAAGATGAAGAAATAAGACAGTTAAAGGAAGAGAACGATAAATTGAAAAAAGAGTTAAAGGTATCGTCAATATTTTCCTTGAATACATATATGACTACATATATGACTTTCGCTCGATTTCCTTCTTTTTTAGCAATATGCAGTGTTATGTATATGAGCACCAATCAAATTCTCACCCCCCAAATTTTCCTCGATCTGATTATCACTTAAATTTATAGTCCGCCAAGTCTCCTGATCATCTCTTAAATGGACGTAACAATGGACATAAAATAGATGAATTGAAAAGGGCCGTTGGGAAAACTATTGAAGATGTATTATCAGAGGTGAGCTAAATTTACGACCTGGCTTATACATATATATATTATATAAGGATTTAGGATAATATATGATAAATCACCAAAGCAGCAATTTTTTATCTCGGTTGTGTTGCGCGAACTTTCCCACAATCAAAAAAAAAGAAAAAAATTTTGCAATTATTATTATTCTTTCTAATAAATCATTCGCATCGTTATTTAAACAATAGCATTCATCCAGATCCAATATCCCAAGGTCCTACATTTCTCCACAAACAGCGCAAACGACATCCGCCACCATTCTTCCAGTTTCAGTTCATGCTTCCATCGCTGACGGTATTTATAATTTAAATATATTCTGATTCTTATTTTATTATCGTCTAATAAATATTAAACTTCTAATACATAATTCATCATAGTTAATAATCAGTTAGCTTCCACAAATGATTCCAAACCTATTACATCTACTATTCCAGACGAATCTACGGTACTTGCTAGTAGTCACATGAATCCCTCCAGTAACAATAATCAAGATACAAACTTTGATCATATTGTATGTTTATTTGATTTTCGTTCATCTGGTTATTTCAAGCACACATTTATTTTTTATTTTATTTTATATTATAGACTAGGCCGTCTGATCAAGATGTTATCATTCAAGCGACAGAAGGTCAACGTCAACAACGTTTTTTCGCCCAAACTACGACAAATAACACTAACGGTCAAAGGCAAGAAAGAAGATACGCAAATAATAATACCAATATGATTGGACTTCCTAATCATAACAGAAATCGTAATAATAATAATAATAAGGTGAGAAATTCGAAGGTGAATTGATATATTAATGCATGATTGAAAATTTTGATTTAATGAATAATGATTTTTTTTATTTTCCTCAGAATCAATATACGATTTTCGTCTCATGGCCTGGTACTATGACGCCAGAACAATTACGTGATTTATTTGATAGTAACGATGTATGTAGATATTCTTCACTTTGTTGTTTCTTATCTACTTTTAAAAATATAAGGTTGTAAATAATTTTTTGTAATAGGTTGAAGATATCCGCTATATGACGACAAAGCAATTTGCTCACGTTGATTTGAAGTCTGAACAAGCTTTGAAAAGTGCTTTACTTCTTCATGGACAGGTATTAACTTAATTCGTAAAATTCTATAATCATTAATGAAATGTTAGTTTAATATATATCATTATTATTATTTAATAGACAAAGAATGAATTACAAGGTGCATTACGGGTAGAATGCGGAAAACCACGTTCTAATAATAATAATAATAATAACAATAATAATAGTAACAATAATAATAACACTGCGGGTAAAGTATTTAAGATTTTTTTTTTTAATTAATATTTTTATTTACATAAATGGTTATGCTAATTTGTTTCTCTCTTAATGATCTTTAGAAAATGGGCAACGTCCGCAACATCAAAATAAAAATTTATTCCGACATAATTACAAAGGGTTAACTTATAACAACAATAGTAATAATACTAATAATGTATTGCCGAAATTCGGCAGATTTTACAGTCATCATCAAAATCATAACAATAATTCCCAGTTCATGAGTAATTCACCTGATAATAATCCTTATCCAGAAAGCGATCTACAAAATGTTTCAACCTTTGCTCAAAAACAAGAACATAAACAAAATGGAGAGATGTGAAAAAAAATCATCCTTTATTAAATTTAAAAAGTGGTTGTAATTTTAGTTGTATGAGCGAAATTAATTCTGTTTGGGTAAGTATAACCAAACTAGATAACCTTTTTATTATTATTTCATCATTTATTTTATCATTTTAAATTTTATTGCATTTTTTTTTTTTTTTTTTTTTTTCTTCTTATGGTGGGAGTTATTTTTTTGAGATTTTATTTTCATTATTATTCAAATCCCTTTGACTGTAGAATAGGCAAATTTGCCTGCGTATTCCCGTAAAAGTATATTCGTAATAAAACCTATTTAATATTACTTGGAATGATTCATCAGTGTTCGTTTTATAACGTCGAGATAACAGGAGAAAAAATAATTTTTTACAATTTTTCGAGCAAATTTGCCTGCAAAGTTAAAAAACAGTTTAAGGGATAAAACATTTTTATTACTTTAGAATTTATGCCGGGTGTGGCATTTCATTTCATTTCATTTTTATTTTTTATTTTCTAAAAATAAGTTTATTGGATAATTAAAATTTTCGCATCTTTCATTTCGAATATCATGAATGTATATTATATTACATTGTTTTTTTATTTATATATATAGTTATTTCTTAGAAGGTTTCCTTTACTTTTTTTTTTCCTTTATCAAAGTTTGTTTCTTCAAGGATGAATAAAGTTAAATTATGAATTAGACGAATGTATAACGTGACCTTTAACATGAATTTCAAATTTTCTAAACCACATTGTTAAATATAAACGGACAAATAGGTTTAATTTGTAAGTCAATATTTTTTATTTAAAGATTTAAATTTTATATTTTGATATTTATCAAGATTACTTCACAAGAATCAAGGACATTTCGACAAGCATCCCGTTTATTGCTCAAAATTGAAAGGAGGTTGCCTTTTGAAGGATCAATGTATTTTCGAAGCTTCAAATATAAAAACATCTACGATAGTGAATTTTTGTTAAAAAAAAAAAAAGAAAAAAAAAAAAGAATAATTAATAACTATCAAAATTTGAATATCGTTGGAAAATAATATAAAGGTTTCACGTACATAAGATTCAAATATATATATATAATATATATATTTGTTATTAAGAACATAACCCTTCTTCTTTCATTACTTCTGCCAGGCGAACCTCATTGGGATTTTGTTTTTAGAAATGATATAGAAAGAGGATGTCTGGTAAGAGTATTATATAATGAAATATCTAAATTTTGCATTTTGTTTATTTTTCATTTATTTACTCTAAATTAACGTGAGATGGGGGGAAAAATTGTTCGCGGAATATATATTAGTATACATCAGAATGCGAGCTAATGACCTTACGAAAAGATGAATTGTACGTACGTGTAATTCTGAACAACTGCACCAAAAGTTGTTCCGCTCTCAAAGCTTTGTAACGTAACATCACGCCTGCCTACTCTTTTAAGGCTTCACTTTAACTTTAAAGGTAAGGTATACGTATAGGTATTAACGCTTGAGCGCCATCCATTTTCGGAATTACTAAGCTCGAGAAGAGAAGATAATTTGTTTCGACAGGTGAGCTATTATTTATTACACGATCTTTTTTTTTTATTTTATTTTTTTTTTTAAATTATAAAATCATCTATTTTTTTTTTTTAAAAAAAATTCCTAATTAATTTAATAAATTGCAAAAGAATCACGAATCACGAAATTAAAATAAATCATTGTTATGAAATTAATTACATTGATTAATGACCAGATGTATCGAAATATCGGCCTGATGATCTTTTTAAAGTGATTTTTGTAAATTTTTTTTTATTATCATGTGTAGACCATCATGATTAGGATAAAAATTATTTTTTTTGGTTTTTTTCGTTGGCCGATATTATATCTGAAAAAAAAAAGTCGAATTAACTAGTAAATTTTTTAAGATCCACAAAAAAAATGAAAATAAAAATAAAATTAAAAATAAAATAATAATAATGGCATACCATGATGATGCAAATGGTCAAAAGAATTATTAATTCTTTGCCTTTAAAAAAAGGCTCGCCATAACTGTTGTTACTGACGGTAAATTTAGTATAATTTTTTTTGTAATTCCTAGTTAATTATCAAAAAAAAATGGTTGATGACAAAGGTGTATACATAATTCAATCCACAGGAAAAAAACGCTGGGATAGAGTTTATTAGATGAGAAAAATATAAATATGTATATTTACTATATACATATATATAAATTTTATTTTTTTTTTTATGTATTTTATGTATGTATGTATAATCGTGATCATTGTTTCCCCAAACATGTTAATTTCGTTGGTTATTTTTTTTTTTTTTAAAAAAAAAAACATTGCGGTTGAATGTTGAATGATGAGATGAGAAGAGGTGGATGTGAATAACTAGTTCGGGTTTTAAAAATTACCGACTTTTAGCGGCATTTTGAAAAATTTAAAGTCATAATGAATTTATATTTTAAAAGAATGTGTAATGAAAAAAAAAAAAAATTTTTTGATGAGAAACTATTTGGACTTTTGAAACGATTTATATATATATAAAAAAAAATTTTTTTTCCCACTCCTTTTTTTTTAAGCATAAAAAAAAATATGACACGATCGATATTTTTTTTTTAATAATTCTAAATCTGTTTATCAGCACATGGTTTTCATGAAAAAAATTCTGAAAAAAGATTAAAAGATTGAAAGGGTTACTAAAACTAAACCAAAAACTGATCAAGGCTGTGCTCAGCCTGTGAATTTTTTTTCGCACCATCATCATTACCCCTTCTTGCTTTCAACAAATGATACATTACTGTCATCTAAATATTTCAAAGCTTCTTGATATGTTGGAAGAGGAAGATTTAAAAAAAATGAATCTGATCCATCTTCAATAACCCTATCATTTTCATTAATTGTAAAAATTTCTAATCGGGAATGAAATTTTTTGGGAGATAATGAGGGTAATGATGACGAATCAATATTGATAGTCGAGGAGTTATTTGAAGAAGAATAAACAGGTGGAGGTGGTGAAAGAGAAAAATCTTCATCAATTGAAGTTGCAAATGTAAAATTATTTAAAGAACGATTTACGTTTACAGAGGATGACGAACGATATGACAAGTCATAATTACAACGTAAATCCTTTACAATGTTGATTGTCAAGAATTCCTAATAAAATAAGTATAAATAATTTTTAAATAATGATGAATTTATGCATGTTGGTTAAAAATGTATAAAAATTTACCGTATAGTTGGATGAAGAAAATACGGGAAGGGTAGGTTTACCATTGCGTTCTTGAATTATTTTCCAATGCATATGACGAGAGTAATCATGACTGTTATATTTTGTAACAAGTAAATGAACTTCACGTTGAATCTAAAGAAATTTGATCATTTTTAGCAATCCATTTAACATTTTATTTACCAGTTTAAATTGATACATACTTCTCTTTTATACTTAATACATATAACGCAATACCAAATAATACAACTTGCAAAGATCAATGGTAATATTCCACCAATTAAACCAATATGATAATTATTGGAATATGGTTTAGTCGTATCATATATCCTACGGATAATGACAATTGGTAATATCGTTATTAAACACAGTACCGGTAAGATGAAGGGTAATAGGATAAGTTTTGTATATTTCTTCTGATATGTTTTATAAAGTAGATTAAATGATTTAATTCGGGATGTAAGTTCTTCTTTTGTGAACTTATTGAGAAGAAGAAAAAAGAAAAAAGAAAATATTTATTTACGAATTTAGAATGGCATCGAAAAGAAATGGCAATTAGATATTTTTTACTTTATACATACATAACCGTCTAATTGATTATTATAAACGTCATCATCTACTTTACCATTTTTTATTGGAACCTTTACAATTTGAATCATATTTATTTTCCGAGAATGTCAAAGAAAAAAAAGTCGAAAAAACTAAAGAATATCCGGCAAGTGCCTTTTCAAGGTTTAAAATCTCACGTAATAAGGATTTAAATTCTCCCTTTTTATATGTCAATTTTCTAGTAAATATAAATAAATAAATATATATATATATATATAATGGAAAAATTTTTTAGGTTCAAAATCGCGTTCAAAATAAAAAGCACCTCGAGATAAGTTATGTAACAAATAATAGTGGGTAAATACAAATTTAAATTTATGGTAATTATAGTACCAAACTTTTAAAATAGGAATCGCATTATTTTTCCTCAAAGTCAAAATAAACAAACTTAAAAAAAGAGCAATGATAATTGGTTCCAAACAATAAATAATACAAAATGTAGTAATTATCTAATGTTATGAATACCATAATGAGGAAAAAATACAAATCTAATTGAATTTCTAACGAATAATAGAGTTTAATTTATTTCATAGTGTTAAACGTAAATCTTTTGGCACCGGTTATTGTTCAATCTGCTAAATTTAAAAAACAGGTTTTACAAACTTTGATACGTTAAAGAGTTTTTACTGGTTCTGACCGCCTTTTTTTAGGAGGGAACTTTTAAACAAGTTTCATTCAAAAATATTTTTATCCTAATTTAAACTATTAATATCTTATAATGTGTGCCAATACTATTTCCTGCATGATGATCAAGGCACCATCGGCACCATCAAGGAATGCCCGGAAAAAGATTACATTTTCATCTCGATCCATTACAGTTTTACAATTCTGGCAGTTGTAAACCTCGGAACCATACTAACTGAAAGCCTTAGCAGTATAAACCTCATAATGATTTTCTTATTTGGCTCAACCAAACACTTTAAAAAGGAGGTATAATAATAATATACAATTGCATTTCATTTTGTTGATGCATAATTTTTCGCCGCATTTGAGAAATAGCATTCTTTTACATTAAATTACCGGAACTCAAATGTAACGTCTTACTGAATTTTAACAATCTATTCGCTATATAGTGATACCAAATATCATATAAAAATTAAATAAATTGAATCAATGCATTAATCACTACTGATTTAACACTGATATATCAAATAATTATAATTTGATTAACTATAATCTAAATTGCAACTGAAAATTCAGCTAAGCTAATCCAGTTTAAAATTTATTTTACTTAATATCTATACATATTTTATTATATGGGTGGTGTGCTATTAAAATTGAGATACAGAATATAGTAAATCATATGATCTGTACCTCAATTTTAATAGCACACCACCCATATATTCAAAAGTTCAATTTTTATTGGTTATAAATTCAGCGTAACTTACAAAAAAAAATTATGATCTTTTTGAATATTTAAATTATTAATTTATACTTATTAAAATGTTATAATACATTTCTTTAATAATAACTTAAGAAAAAAATTACTTTTTTTTTAGATGTGATGAAGCATTTATTTATTAAAAAAAATATTTTTCATATACAAAGTACAAAGAAAAATCTCCAAAAAGGATACAAAAGTAGAAAAAAACAAAGTAAATGCTGCTTAACCTTCTCAAAGAATAAACTAATTCCAACCAAACAAACCGATTGTCCTATCATATTTTTAATCAAAAACTAAGTGAAGAGAAATCATTACATGACTAAATTGAACTAATAAAAGAGACATAGTTTTTATTGTTCTAAAAAGAGGCTAAGATCGACTGTGAATGAATGGAGTTAGAAAATAATTGAAGATATGTGTTATTACAAAAGGGAGTAGAAGAAGTTATAGAAAAAGAAAAACTTAGTATATTTAGTATATGTCTATATTTACAAGTTTGTCCTTTTTAGTAATATTATGAGATAATTCAGTATAACTAGTAATATCACAATGAGGTTTTCAAATTAGTTTAACAGATATATCAAATATAATGTCATAAAAAGTAAATAAAATAGTATAAGTTTTCTGCTTACATTTAGTAAAGTCATTAATAATACAGTATAAATCTATAGAAACAATATTCTTGATAAAGTCAACAAAGTAAAAGAAAGTATATGAACTGTAATAAATAGGAATTAATATTTATAGAACAGATCCAGAATTATTAACAAATCATTAAACCAATTAGATCTTGACATATATATAAAGAGTTAATCTTTTAGTGACTGAAATGCTTTAACTATGATAGCATTAATGTGTTTAAGGCTTTTTACATAAGACCAAATATAATTGAAAGATTCAATTTGTATTAAATTTTCAATCTTCATCATAAAGGTCAGGTCAGATAGCTTTCTAAAATTTTAGAGTTGGTAATATTTGTATTTATATGATTCATTAAATAAAGTTTATGATGATATACCATTAAAAATTAATTTGAAAGTGTATAGTTAGTTGATTGATTTACTAATATACTATTGATTAATTTTAAATAATAAAAGGTTGTAAAGGTTTTTGTATGCATGTAATCTTTAAAGAATAGTCTAATTTCTTTATTAATAAAATTAGATTAGAAAGTAGATATAAAAGAGAGAAAAGAAGTATGTTTAAATGAAAAGAAGATAGAAGAAATCATAAGTGAAGACTTTACCAATTTATTTACTTTTTATTAAAAGGGTTTCCATTATGAGCTTTGACTTTAATCAGATTAAGTAAAAGTTATTTTTATTCAATTAGTTTAAAAATGAAATACTAATAAATAAAAAGGGGTTTTAAATAACAAAAAAGGATAATTAACGTATTAGTGAAGTATAATCTATTGTATATAAGTATCATAAAAAGACTATCAGTATTAATGATAACAGAAGTATCATATGAATAGATAAAAATCATTATTAAAAAAGTGAAAATTTCAGCATGAGTGAAGTTGACCTAAGTTGATGATAAAGTAGTAGCGAAACTAACTTCTAAGAAATTATGAACTAAGAGAAAAGCAGAGCTAAAATATTATTGTAAAGAAGAAGAAATAAACAAATAAGATCTATCTATATAAAAATTCTAAAGTACGTTAGTTAGTTAAACTAATTCTATGTTGATTTAGTATTTATTAAAGATGAGAACCATAATTAATATGTTGCAACTTTTAATATTACAATATATATTACAATTAGTTTTGACTTATATATATTGCAACTTATAATATTACAATGTATATGAGTTTATCAATAAAAAAGGAGGAAATTTTAAAAAATTAAAATTTTACTTCATTTGCTAAATATGATTTTTTTTAGTAAAATAAGTCCAGATTTAACTTTAACTTATAAAAACATTTTTTTTAGATTTCTCCTCTTTTTATTGACAAGCTTCTATATGTTGTAACTAATTTTAGTTTATATTGCAACATATTGTAAATTTGAAATTAATTGCTACCCTATAAGAAATCAAAATAAGGAAATAATACGTTTTTTATAAGGTTTGTATACGTAATTAATGATTCTATATCAAAATTCCGTATGTTTTA